GAGGAGGCTGAGGGGAGACCTTCTCGCTCTCTGCAGCTCCCTGACAGGAGGGGGCAGGGAGGGGGGGTTGGGCTCTGCTCCCCAGGACCCAGCGACAGGACGAGAGGCGATGGCCTCAGGCTGCGTCAGGGGAGGTTCAGGTCGGAGATTGGGGAAAATTTCTTTGCTGAGAGAGTGGTCAGGGGTTGGCCCAGGCTGCCCAGGGCAGTGGGGGAGTCCCCATCTCTGGAGGGGCTCACACACCATGTGGCTGTGGCACTTGGGGACAGGGTTTAGCAGGCGTGGTGGGGTTGGCTGGATGGTTGGACTTGCTGATCTTGCAGGTCTTCTCCAACCTTAATGATTCCATGATTCTAAGAAAAATCTTCAAATTCATCTTGTAAGGGGCCAAAACCCAACCAGAGGCACGTCATTCGCCCTGTGTCCCTGCACCGACGTCACTGAATGGGACAGCACACTCCACCACGGTGGGTACATCCTCGCTGCCGTGACAAGGACAGCAGGGTTGAGGGAGCTGCCACCCCAGAGCCGTTACCTGATGTCTTCTCTGAGCTTCTTGCTCTCCTTGTAGTGAAGGAGCCACTTCCACCTCCCGCTTCTGTTCAGCTTCTCCAGCACCTTCGCCACCTCTTTCAGCTGGCCTGGGGAGAGAGCAAGAGCTGGAGGGTAACCCAGGGTGGAAGAGAAGCCTGAGGGTCCCCTGCCCAACCCTGCTCAGAGCTGGGCCACCTGAGGTTGCTGAGGGCTTTGGCTAGGGGAGGTTTGAGTATCTCCAAGGATGGAGACTCACAACTTGAGCTGGGATCCTGTCCTTGCATATGCACACATTTGCTGTGAATTTTTTCACCCTACTACCTAGAAGGGATAAGTGCAACTCGTCCCCGTCACCTCTTGTCCCATCACTGCACATCTCCAGGAGTGTGGCTCCATTTTCTCTGCCCCTTCCTATCAAGAAGCTGAAGACGGCAACAAGGTCTCCACTTTGCCCTCCCTTCTCCAGGCCAAACGTCCTTGTGCAACCCCTGCTCCAGGCCCTGACCACCTTGGTGGCCCTCGCTGTACGTAGATGTTTCTGAAAGCCCTGACCCAGACCCACAATCCAGATGGGGTCTGAGGTGTCGAACAGACGGAAAGAATTGCCCCTGCCACAGCCAGGAGCGGAGGACACCGACCGCAAATT